AGGAAGGCACGGCCACCTCAGCTGCCCTTAATCAGGGGAAATGGCCTGGACTGGCTCCTGGTGTGCGAGGGAGTCCCTCCAGGCCCTGCTGATCAGTTTCCTCATTTAGACTGCAGACTGTCTGCAGGAACAGATGAAGCACAGTCTTATATGGGTATGTGCAAAGCCCATGGTCACACAATAGTGCAGGAAAGGCAGGGAAGGGGCGGAATGGGGAGGGTCAATGGGCAGAGAAGAGGTCGCTTTGCCCCCACCTGGTCCTGGTGCCCAGCACAGAGGGCCTCGCTGCCCAGAAGCCACCTGTGACTTGAGGGTGAACTTCTCCTTCACAGCCAACCTGGTGGGACCTCCAGAACCCACCTGTCTCACACTAAGGTCACCCCTCTAACCCGTCCATTCTTTCTTCCCTCCTGTTCGCCTTGGTGCCCCCGTCCCTGACTGGCTGTGGCCAGACTTTCGCTGCTTGCCACCGCCATTTCCTCTCTCTGCCTCCCACACTCAGGGGAAAGTCCCTGGAAACCGAGGCCTCAGCCGCATCTAGCCCGGCCCACATACAGGCCACTTCCCACTTTTACTGCTCAGTGTCTTCCTCTGAAAAGTGGGGCCTGAGGGTAATGGGGCTCCTGTCCTGACCCCACAGGCTCAGGGGATTGTCAATGAGACATGGGATGGCTGCGCGCTGTTAGGGGGCATCCAGAAGTAATGAGTGGCAATGTACAGGGATGTTTTTCTTCCAGCCAGAGTGGGAACCGCTTGTTTATTGTTGTAACCCTGCACCTGGCAGGATCCCTGGCACAGACAGACGCTTCAGCTCCATGAGCAACTGGAACCAGGGGAAGAGGATACATTTCAAGGAAACAAGCAGCCACTGGGCTTTCATTAGGTCCTGTCTAGGATCCCGAGCTCCTCTGAACTCAAGGACTAAGCCTTCTGACACAAAAAGATAAAAAGATGAGTAACTCTCTTTGAGGCAGAGACCCAGGTGCACCAAGAGAGAAGAGAAGTACAGTAAAGCCTGGCCTGTGTAGCACAGTGATTGAGCTTTGACCTATGAACCAGGAGGTCATGGTTTGATTTCCTGTCAGGGCAAATGCCCAGGGTTGGAAGATCCATCTGCAGTAGGGGGAATGCAGGAGGCAGCTGATCAATGATTCTCTCTCAACATTGATGTTCTCTCTTTTTTTCTCTCTACCTTCCTCTCTGAATTTAATAAAAGTAATTTTAAAAATAATAATAAATTTAAAAATAAAATCAATTAAGGATTCCTTGTCTAAAAACATCTCCTGGTTGTGGAATGCTGGCTCTCTCCCACTTGATCAGGTCACCACCCTGTCCCCGAGGCCCCATCCACTGTTAAATGGGGGAACGGGACCTGGAGTGCAGAGCTGTTTTGTGAGTGAAGTGGTGATGGCCTGTGGGCTCAAGGCTGGGAGATGCATCTTGTCCTCCAAGGGATCACAGCACCCTCTCTGGCAGGGACGCCTTCACAACAGGGACACACCTGCATTCCAGGTGATCTTGCTGGAGAAGCGCATCTCACAGATGTGTTCCTACATATGGGCAGCCGCAGCCGGCCGGAGCCCTCGTCCCGTCACCTCAGGTCGTGCCAGCGTCCAGGCCTCCACACTCTGGCCAATGTATTTGGAAGGCTTTCCATCAGTGCCGAGCCTGGCACCCAAAGTAAACCAAACCAACAAAACAGAGGCCTGGACCCACTTGAGCTCAGTGCTCAGCATGGCATGCACATTCCACAGGAGATGGTCCCTTCTTGGGAAGAGGGCCACATTCTCAGAGACAAGGCCTTCCCAGAAACCAAATGCCAGAAGGCGACGCAAGGTCCCTGAGGTACTTCTGGGTGGCAGAAGAGGCTGGGCCTCCAGGCTCAGGTCCACACCATTGCTGAACACCCAGGTGTTGCAGACATCTGCCAATGCCTCAGCACTCCCTGGGGCTGGCTTGGTGAGGAGCAGGGGGAGCCGAGAGCAGGCCCAGGCCACGGACATCCCCTGGTGCTGCTGGGACCTGCTCAGATCCAGTGGGGCTACCTGTGCCTCCTGCCCCTAAGTGCACAGCTTGGATGACTTGCCCAGTGTTTTTTGAGCATCTGCTCTGCCTCATTGGTCAACATGGTGAGTCTGTTTAATCTATACTTTCCTACAATATTTTTTTTTAAAAAGGACTTTCAGTGCTTTCCCATTGACCCTGGAATTCTACACATGGCACCTGGGCATGGAGACAGAGCCTTTCCTACCTGCCATGCTCATTTCTTCCAGCATCCCCATCCCCCAGCCTGAGCTGTAATGCACTCTGTCCATCCTGTAAATGAAGCACTGGATTGGCCCTGATCCACTGAGCACTCTCTCCCTCTCTTTCTATCTCTCTTGCTCTCTGTCTTGCTCTCTCTCCTCTCTCCTCTCTCTGTCTCTCTGCCCTCTCTTCTCTTCCCACTCTCTCTCTCCTCTCTTTCCTTTGCTGAACAACTTCTGCTCATCTGTTACACATCAGCCTCAAAATCCCAAGCAATGAGCGGGGAACCTTGTCTTCACTCATGTCCCCTCTTCCTCAGAGGGATCACCTGTGGGAGGAGTTGGTTTGCATATTTCTGGGTTAGCTGGCCAAGGCTTGGGGGTGGGGGTGGGGGGATTGGTGAGGCAATCAATCAATGTGTATCTCCCAACTCTCTCTCTCTCTCTCTCTCTCTCTCTCTCTCTCTCTCTCTCTCTCTCTCTCATTCTTTCTCTCATCTCTTCTTTCTTTAAACTCTCTCTAATGAAAATCCATGGAAGTCTAGCCTTCGGTAAAGATTAACAAAAACAAAGCAAACCTTCCTGCTGAGAAAAGCCTGGGGAGGGGGGAGAGAAAGGATTGGATAATAGAGGGTTGGTGCTGGCCCCAGCCCACCTCTGAGACTATACTTGTCCCCACTTGGGGTACATCCCCTGTGGGATATAGTGGGTGGCACCTGGGACCACCCAGGAAGGAGTTTGGCTCAACCTCTGGCTTAACCTAAAACTCACCGAGTCTGTAGGTCTAACACTTTACAGGAAATACTGAAGTTAGAGGAATCAGTAAAACCACAGCTCAGGGACACAATAGGTCAAACCCAGAATGCGAGACCTGTGACAGGTGACCTGTTCCCAAGGCCCTCCAACAGCAGAGAGAGCAAGTCACAGGGAAGGAGAGAAACCAAGCAATCCTGCTGGCCACATGGGGACCCTATGTTGACAAGGCCCCTTACAATCAGCAGTTTCTGATCCAGTTAAAAGGGGTAAATGAGCTCTGGGCAGCAGCATAGCTCAGGAGGGACCCTCTCAGGGTGACTGGATGGGGCAGGTGCTGGAGAAGGGACCCCAGGCATGGAAGCTGAGCATTGGAGTGTGACAGGTGAAAAACTAGCTGTCTTGTCAGCTAAGTGATCCCATGTGACAGTGCCACCGTATTCAGCCTTGAAATGTGGTTCAGCCTCAGAAAAGAGGGAAATTCTGACCCTTGCTACAACACAGATTCACCAAGAACCAGGCGCAGTGTAATAAGCCCGGCACAGAAGCACAAATGCCATAGGATTCCACACAGAAGACGTTCTTGCACTCATCAGACTCAGAGACAGAAGGTGCAATGGTGGTGGCCAGGGGCCAGGGGAAGGAGGAGTGAGTGTTTAGTAAGCACAGAGTTGCTCTTTGGAAGATGGAATGTTCTGGAGACGGACAGTGCTGAGGGCTGCAACAATGTCAATGCCCTCCATGCCACTGGCTGCACATTAAAGACGGTTAAATCGGTGGATTTTGTTCCGTCTGTCTGACCGCAACGGACATTGAGCTAATGACATGGAAAGACTTCCCAATGCCAAGCAGATGTCCCTTTGTGAACACACCGCCAGCACAGATGCCGCACATGGGGACAGAACAATGTCCTGGGGTACCCACCCAGCTCAGCTGACTGCTGCTCAGGAGCCAATACTCAAGGGACCCGGTGTGATGAAGCAAAGCAGGTTTATTTTAGAGCCAACAGCTTGAGAAGATGGAGGACCCTCAGCACAAAATCATATTTACTTCTTGTTTTTCAACCCTCACCCCTGGAATTGTTTCCATTGAGAGACGGGGTTGGGGGGGAAAGAGAGAGACTTGAGAAAGACATAAGAGAGAGAGAGAGAGAAGAGAGAGAGACATTAGCACCTCCCATATGCACTCCGACCAGAAATGGCTCCATGGTTGAGCATCGACCTCTGAACCAGGAGGTCACAGTTCAATTCTTGGTCAGGGCACATGACCAGTTAGTGGGCTGGATCTCCAATATGAGGTATGCAGGAGGCAGCTGATCAATCACTCTGTCTCATGCTAATGTTTCTATCTCTGTCTTCCTTTCCTCTCCTCCCTGAAATAAATAAAATTATATCTTAAAACAAGAAAAGAAAGAAAGAAAGGCTGGTGTTGGCCAATCCAGAAGACAGTTACTGCAGAAGCAAGGGAGGGAGAGCAGCCTTCCCTGGTGAAACTGCTTCCTCTGGTTCCATGAAACAGTCACTCTGCTTTTCCCGGGAGGAGGGGACTCCCAGGAGGGCTTGTGGTCTCTGCTGCTCGAGGCCCCTTGTAACAGGCCCTCTGGGCCATTCCCACCCAGATACCTGGGCATGAGCCCATTCTCCAGAACTTCTCCAGAACCCCATCGGAACTCCCAGCCTGGTGGGGTGTGAGTGGGCGGGGGGTGGGGAGGGCTAAAGGGGGAAATGGAGCAGCAGAGACTCCAGCTCAGGGCTCCAGGCCAGAGCTCAACCCCCTACAACTGGACGGGAAGTGTGTCCACCTGACACGCAGACGCTGGTGAGCCACAGGAGGGGCTGCTTGTGAGCAGTTCCCTGACTGAGTCACGCCCTGCAGAGCCGTTCGTGAGGTTGCACAACCCTCTCCCCTATAAATAGGGAGCACATTGGTCTCTGGAAGCCTGTGGCTCCAGCTGCAAGTCTCCTGCTCCTCCTCCTGCCCTCGCCCAGCCTGGTAGCCAGCATGAGGCTCTTCCACATCCTGCTGCTGCCTCTCTGCCTGCTCTTGGCCCAGGTGGGCCCAGGTGAGCTGGGGACCAGGGGGCACTCTGCCCAGGGCTGGGACTAGGGGAAGTGTGCTGTGAGGAGAGCTGGAGACACTGTGCCCTGAGAGCACAGGCTTTGGGCAGCATCCACGATGCCCAGGGCTAATGGTCCGCTGTGTGCTGCCCCTGGGGTCTGCCAGGAGCTCCTGACCTCCTATGGGGAGCTGCGGGGAGCACAGCCAAGCAATTGTCCAGGGCCTGGGCCCAGCTGCAGACTGAGGGTTCATGCCCAGCTTCCTGTCTGACCCCTAGGACTCCATGCCCTCTGCTAGCAGCTACCAGACCCTTGAGCCCCATCAGGTCTTGGGCATCTAGAAGGACCCTCTCTGGGGTCCCTGACTCCACCTGCAGAAGGCCCCTCGCCCAGCGAGGCCGGCTCCTGTGCTGCTGCCAGAGGGGCACACTGCCAGCCCCAGGGCTCCCGAGTCACCAGGTGGGGCCTCCCAGGTTCCCTGCTGTAAGCAGGTGCTGCGGGCCCCACCCACAGGCATCTCCCCACCCGTGACTCACCTGTGCGGGCAGTCAGGGCCCATGGGTGGCAGAGATCTGCTGTCCAGAGCCCCTCACACTAAAAGTAGCCTACAAAGCAGTTAATTATGACTAATCTTAACCCAACAAGCCTTTTGGGTGCTCCCTGTCTGTATGTGTGTGTTTGTGTGTGTGAGTATGTGTGTGTTTGTGTGTGTGAGTATGTGTGTGTGTGTGAGTGTGAGTGTGTGTGTGACTGTGTGTGGGGGCCTGTGTGTCTGTGTGTGTCTGTATGTGTGAGTGTGTGTGTGTGTGTGTGTGTGTGTGTGTGTGTGTAATAGCCATACCGCATCTCTCAGGCCAGTTCAGTTCTGACTCAGAGAGCCTGGATGCCGAGTTCTCAATGATCAGATGGACTTGCCATCTATGAAGTCTTATGGTGATTGGGAGCTTCCCATGCAAAGCACAGAGAACACCAGTGCTCCCCACGGTGCAGGAGCAGTGGCCTCAGGCAGCACTCTGATGGAAGCACTAGCTGAGCCCTGCCGGGTGGCCTGGGGATTAGAGCACCGTCCTGTGCACCAAAAGGTTGTGAGGTTGTGGGTTCGATTACCGGGCAGGACACATACCTAGGTTGCAGGTTAGATTCCTGCTTGGGGTCCATTCTGGAGGCAAGAGATCCATGTTTATCTTTTCCCCTCTGTCCCTCTGTCCCTCTCCCCCTCTCTCTATCTCAAAACATCAACAGAAACATCTTCTCAGTTGAGGACTACAAAATCAATAAAGCAGGAGCTGACCCTGTGGAGCAGGTAGTAAGCTCAGGATTAGCTCAGATACCCCCAGGCAGACTACTCTTGCCTCTCCTCCAACAACACATCAATCCTTCTGCCCAAACTGGCCCGTCTGTGGCCCTCAGAATCGGATGGGACACCTCAGGAAGGCCCCTGCCTTGCAGGGAGTGGCCACTCTGCAAGGGAAAGAGCTGTGCCCACGGGGCTGAGGCTGGAGCTCTAGTCACCTTGGGGCCCTGCAGGCACCACCTCTCCTGCACTTTGACCTCTGTGTGACATGTTCCCATTGGGGTCAGGGCCCCAGGAAAGGCCGTATCTACACAAATATCTTCATGGGAATGGGATGCTCTCCGGGCAAGTTTGGGTGGGGTGTGGGGGACAATGATCCCCCATGCCTTTGCCTGTGATCATATCCAGCCCCTCAGTCTCTGTTTGGCTCCCCAGGCCGTGGGCTGGGTGTTCCTGTGGCTGTTGGTGCCTTGGTCCTGGCTCTGTGGTTGTTAGGGTGGCTCTGCACAAGGGGCATGTATGGCTGTGGGATCAGCATTCTGCACATTCCAGCCTCTGCACACGGGGCATGGAAGGCTGCGGGATCAGCATGATCACAGGTCCGAGCTCAGTGCACAGAGGAGCCTGCTGTTCCCGGGTCTGTGGGATCCTCACCACCCTGACTGACTGGGCCCCATCCGGCCCCTGATGGGCTCAGTCCATCCCTCTCCTGGACCGGCCATCAGAGCTCATTTAGTCCAACCTGGTGGGTTCATATGTGGGGAAACTGAGGCATACGGGTGTGTGCGAAGAAGAGCTGTGGTCATGGCTGGAGACCACAACAAGCCTGCTCACAGTTTTCCTCTCTCTCTGAAAAAACAAAAAGAAAAAACAGGCTTTGCCCACATTTATTTCATGCAAGTGGCTTTGTGTGAGGATAGAATGATGTCAGAATGACACAGTGACCCAGGTCCCAGAATCGGCTACTCAGGAGACCAGCCCAGGTGGCAAGACATTAAGGCCATTGGAGGCTGCCCTGGCTGGTATCTCAGAGGTCAGAGCGCCGGCCAGCACACCACCCGGTTGTGGGTTCCATTCTCAATCAAGGGCCTTACCTGGGATGCAGGTTCTCTCCCTGCTCCTGAAATGGAGCCTTGGGCGGCAACCAGCTGATGTGTCTCTCTCATCGATGTTTCACTCTCTCCCTTCCACTCTCTGAGAAGCAAGGGAGAAAATATGCTGGGCAAGATTAACAAAAAAGAAGAAAGAAAGAAAGAAAGAAAGAAAGAAAGAAAGAAAGAAAGAAAGAAAGAAAGAAAGAAAGAAAGAAAGAAAGAAAGAAAGAAAGAAAGAAAGAAAGAAAGAAAGAAAGAAAGAAAGAAAGAAAGAAAGAAAGAAAGAAAGAAAGAAAGAAAGAAAGAAAGAAAGAAAGAAAGAAATGGAAGGAAGGAAGGAAGGAAGGAAGGAAGGAAGGAAGGAAGGAAGGAAGGAAGGAAGGAAGAAAGAAGGAAAGAAGAAAGAAAGAAAGAAAGAAAGAAAGAAAGAAAGAAAGAAAGAAAGAAAGAAAGAAAGAAAGAAAGAAAGAAAGAAAGAAAGAAAGAAAGAAAGAAAGAAAGAAAGAAAGAAAGAAAGAAAGAAAGAAAGAAAGAAAGAAAGAAAGAAAGAAAGAAAGAAAGAAAGAGAAAGAAAGAAAGAAAGAAAGAAAAGGGCAGTCTGTGGCTGTCCACTCTGCTTGGGCCAAAGGTTAGCTCGCAGTTCCCATGCACAGGCCCTGCCTGGTGAGGGCTCCTGTGAACACAGCCCTGACCTGGTGACTCTGCATGGCAGAAGCAGGGCCTGGGAGGAACCCTGGGTGTGTAATTAATTACCTAATGACATCACGTTGTGAAATGCCCACCAGGGAAGTGTGAGAATTAATAAAAAATAAAAGAAACAATGATGGGAGAGAATTATTGATTGGCTACCTCCTGCACGCCCCCACTAGGGATCAAGCCCACAAACCAGGTTGAAGCCCTGACTGGGAACCAACCCATGACCTCTAGGTTCATGGGTCGATGCTCAGCCACTGAGCCACGGAGGCTGGGCTATTTGTTGGCCCTTCCCACTGTGTGCTTATCATGCTGATCATGGAGCCTAGTTTGTGTGAGCATTTCAGGTGGCTGGAGACCAAAGGTGGTGGCATGGTGGCTTGGTAGGCTAAGAGTGGATTTGATTGTAAAGGAGAGTGTCAAACTATGGTAGGAAACTGCATATGCCAGTTCACACGCTCAGTCAGTGCATCTAGGTTCCCGTTGCTCCACATTCACACCAACACTTGGTAATGTCATTCCATTGGAAGTGAACCATCTGCTCAGTGGGGTGCTCACTAGAGGGTTAGTGTGCGTTTCTCCGGTAAATGACGTGGTGGGTACCTTTGTAGGTGGCTCCTGGCCACAGGGCGCCTGTTGTGAAGTGCCCCTTTGTCTTCTGCCCACATTTCCTATAAATTACCTGTCTTTTCTTCCTGATTTGTAGCAGTTCTTTATACCGTCTGCAGACAAGCACTTTGGCAGTCAGATGCACCGCAGACACCTTCTCCCTGGTACCTAGATTGTTCACTGTCTTCATGAAATCTTTCCCGAGAGGGTTTTATCGCTGCTGTAGAGGCTGGTAAATGTGTCATAGCTTTTCCTTTAGGGTTTAGGCTCTTGGGCAGCTTAGGAAATCCTTTCTAACCAGACACATGAAGAAAAGCTTTGAGGGTTTCTTTTGTGACCTTTCCCCCTTTTACACCTGGGTGTCTAATGGTATGGTGGGGAGAGGGGAGCTAAGGGTGAAGTATGTTCAATATGGGTCCTGGCTGGGCAGGGCCTCAGCATGTGGGTGGGAGGGGGTGACACAATTCCATCCAGGACTCCAATCAGTGCAGAGCCAGGGCCTGAGAGCCACTCCCAGGGACATGCTGGGCGGCCTGGTTCTCTCGCAGAGTTGGCAGCCAGTCCAGGGCCTTCTGTTTGGAGAGTCTCTGCTTCAGGGAGGAAGGCAGAATACATTCCAACCGGAGAGAGCAGTGAGAGCAACACAATGTGCAGGTGAAAGGAATACCTGAAACCCATACTATTTCATCAGCCAATGTCACCCCAATAAATTACACTTAAAAAATTTTTTTTAAATGAATAAATATTTTATCCTTTTGCTTTTATTTAGAAAGAAAAGGAAGAAAAAGACACAATGAAAGAAAACAATGAAAGCTCATGGGGTAGCCATCTTTCCACCGGGCACTGAAGGGCAGGACCTGGTAGAAATGGGGCCAGGGTGGGATGGGGCAGGGGCGGGGAGGGGTGCTACCCAGATCACGTGAATGCCTAGCACTCAGCCTGGAACATTTCAGCTGTTCTCACTGGTTAGAGTCACTTAATCATGAAAACAAAACATGTGCATGGGCAGAAAACCCCAGTAGAAAATTACCATGGTGGTTTAAAAACAAGGGTGGATGAATACGTCCTAAACTATGTAGGATGCTCATGGTGAATAAAATAATACAGTGACCAAAGGTGGCAGAATTTGTTACAGGAATATGCAAAATAGGAATTCAAATTTGTTACTTTTTCTTTTTTAAAGACACACATAGCCCTGGCTGGGTGACCTAATTGGTTGGAGCTTCCTCCCATGCATGGAAAGGCTGTGGGTTCAATTCCTGGTCAGGGTACATACAGGTTTCCAGCTCCATCCCCACTTGGGGTGTGTCCAGGAGGCAACAGATTGATGCTTCTCTTTCACAGATATGTTTTCTCTCTCTCTGTCTCTCCCTTCCTCTCTAAAATCAGTAAACATATCCTCAGTACAGATTCTTTCTTAAACAGATGTGAGTATTTGTGGAACAGAGCACGTGTGTTCTGGAGACAGGGTAAAGCTGAGAAACCTTGTTTGGGGATAAACTGGGTGCTCAGGACAGCTGTCTTGGCAGAGGGAAATCTACTCCCAGCTCTGCTGCTCACCCTCAGCTTTGGTTTAGCCACAGTGGTCACCAACCTCAGACCAAGGGCATAGACCTCAGATAGAGGACATAGACCTCAGACAGATGGCAAAGACCTCAGACAGAGAACATAGAACTCAAAACGAGTGCACAGACCTCAAACTGAGAGACCAGACCTCAGAAGGAGGACACAGACCTTAGAGTTCACAGGCTCAGACAGAGGGCAGAGGCTCAGACATAGGGCACAGACCTCAGACAGAGTGCAAAGAGCTCAGACAGAGGGCACAGGCCTTTGCAAGAGCACCCCCAAAATTCAGTGGGGGCCCAATTTCTAGGAGGGCATGATCTCTGCAGTGCTCTGGGAAGGGCTGTGTGTCCTTAGTCACCAAGTGTCCTGCAGTCATATTGGCTGTGAACCAGGAACCTGACGTGTCTTCTCTGCCTCCTCACAGGTGCCGGCCTCATCAAGAGACTGTCAATCAGGAATCTAGACTATAGGTGCCCCTCATGGCGGGGGATCTGCACCTTCGGCATATGCCCACCCGACACCAGCCACATCGGCAGCTGCCAAAACGGAAGAGCCAAGTGCTGCATATGAGCTGGAGCCATGGGGGAGACAAAGCCAGAGGAACTACTTCTAAGCATTGTTTTCCTAAAATAAAATCTTAAAAAGAGCAAGCCTACTGAGGACCCACATGAACCCTGTGTCTCCTTTGGGAAGAGGTTAGGAAAGCCAGGTTACATAGAACACAATCCTGCTAAGTGAATTGAGCCAGTCAAAGCAAGAGAAGCATCACATGATCTCACTCATAGGTGGAGTCTGGTGAACAACATAAACTGATGATCAGAGTGGATCAAGAGCCATGGAAGCATGGAGCGAGTGGGGAGTGTCTGAGGGAAGGCAGGGGAGACTGCGTGGGAGGGAGGTGACCATCAAGGACCGTGTGTGGGGAGATGCAGGGCCCATGGCCACAGACAATGGGGCGCTGAGGGCCTGGGGCCTGGGGCCAATGGGGGAAAACAGGGGACATATGTAATACTTTCCACCATAAAGGATTTTAACAACAAAGAAAGAAGTGACACAGGCCAGGCCACCAAAGTCCAGGAAAGGCGGGTGGGGAGGGTGAGGGCCACAGCCATGTCACCTCCTCCTCACTTCATTACCGAACCACCATGTGAGATGTTCAGAGGATCCACCCGCAATCAGGAGTGCCTGACAAGGGGGCAAATGACACCACTTCCCCTCTCCTGGGCCCAGCAGGGTCTCCCCCCAAATCCAGTGCACATTCCACGCCAGGCCAGGGGCAGTGGGTTGGCCAAGCTTGGCTTTTGAGCGTGTCCGGTGGGACTATAAAATCACTCCAAATCCGCCAGGCCAGCGTGGTACATGGGTTGAGCATTGACCTATGAAGCAGGAGGTCACTGTTTAATTGCCAGTCAGGGCTCATGCTCAGGTTGTGGCCTCGATCCTCAGTGAGGGATGTGCAGGAGGCAGCCCATCAATGATTCTCTCTCATCATTGATGTTTCCATATCTCTTTCCCTTCCTCTCTGAAAATATTTTTTAAAAAATAATAATCATATATAATAAAGAAGTCATATGCAAATTGTCCCTCCCACCCTCGTACAACATGGCCGCCCCCATGTGGTCACTGATGGCTACCACAAGATTGCTGGCAGGGGAGGGCAGTTGGGAACAACCAGGCTGGCAGGGAGGCAGTTAGGTATTGATCAGGCTGGCAGGGGAGCGGTTAGGGGGTGATCAGGCTGGGAGGCAGGCGAGCAGTTGGCAGCCAGCAATCCTGGATTGTGAGAGAGATGTCTGACTGACCTTTTATGCCTAATCCTTAACCAGCATTTGGACATCATTTGAGGGTTCCCAGTTGAAGAGGGTGCAGGCTGTGTGATACACACACACACACACACACACACACACACGCACACACAAACACACACGCACACACACACACATCTCATGCACCAGGTCTCTAGTAAACATATAAGCCACTCTTCTTCCATTACACTCTCCAGACCTAAGATCTGGGCTATTGAAGGATGACTGTGGACCCTCCCAACTCACACCACCTATTCCAGTCCCTCAGAGCACACCTGCTGCACCTCCACTAAAGGACCACCTCCTGCACCAACCAGCCTGCAGGCAACCTTGTTCCCATCCATGCCCACAGCTGGGGCCCACCACAGCATCTCTAGGTCAAAAGCAAGAATGCACTTCCACTGTCCTACAAATGTTTGCCCTCACCCCCCGCTCATCCTCAGTTTAGACACAGCACCCCTTGTTGGGGCAGAAGGCAGAGAGAGAATGATGGTTCAAGTGGTGGCTCTACACCTGCCCTCGGGCAGCCTCGGTGACTGAGCTACCCCATGAGGTCTCCACGGCCTCTCCCTGCCCTGGAAAAGCTATCGGGTCTTAGGGACAGTGACAGGAGGGGCTGGAAATATGAGGGACACAAGGTAAAGGATAGGCTTGTCTAAACACTAGGCTGTACACCTGACACAAAAAGAGAATAATATTGGATGTAAACTGTAACTGAAAACAATTTTAATAAAATAATTTTAGTTGGGAAAAATTAAAAAGCTAAGCTATACTGGGGACCATTCTGTCTTGTGAGGAAACGGCAGGAAAGCTCAAAGCATCTAGATTCCCCACCCCTATAAACAAAGCTGATGAAGGGCACAGCTTTCTTCTAGAACATCCCACATGAGGGAGGAAGCAGAGGAGGTGGCATTAGAAACTCCTGAGTGATATCTCAGACCCCAAACAGTGCTCAGTGGTTTCTTTAACACCTTTTGTCAGCATCTACCCTCACACCAAAGCATCAAGTGTTTGATTCCCAGTCAAGGACAAGGAGTTCCTGGGTTAGCTGACCAGGTCTGGGTGGGTTGGGGAGGCAACCAATTGATGTGTCTCTCTCAACTCTTCTCTCTCTCTCTCTCTCTCGTGTGTGTGTGTGTGTGTGTGTGTGTGTGTGTGTGTGACTGTCTGTCTCTCTCTCCTTTACACTCTATCTAAAGAAAATCAATAGAAAATTAGCCTCTGGTGAAGATTAACAAAAACAAAGCAAACCTCCCTTCTGAGAATAACCAGGGGAATGAGGGGGAGGAAGAATTCGATAATAGAGGGTGGGTGCTGGCCCCTGCCCAGCTCTGAGACCAGGCTTGTCCACACTTGGGGTGCATCCCCTATGAGATGTAGTGGGTTGCACCCAGGACCACCCAGGAAAGAGTTTGGCCCAACCTCTGTCTGAACCTGAAACTCAACAAGTCTCTAGGTCTAACACTTTACAATAAATACTGAAGTTAGAGGAACCAGTAAAACTACAGCTCAGGGACACAATCGGTCAAACCCAGAAGGGGAGACATTCTCTGGCACAGGTGACTAAGTCCCAAGATTCTAAAACAGCAGAGGGGACCGAGAGAGCAAGTCACAGGGAAGGAGAGGGACCAAGCAATCCTACAGGCCACGTGGGGAACCAGTGCTGACAAGGCCCCTTACAAATAGCAGTTTCAGAGCCAGTCAGAAAGGGTAAATGTGCCCTGGGAAACAACAGGGCTCAGGAGGGGCCCTGTCTGGGTGACTGGATGGGGCAGGTGTTGGAGGAGAAGAAACCCCATGCATGGAAGCTGAGCATTGGAGTGAAATACCTGCTGTCTTGTCAGCTAAGTGATCTCCAGAGTCACGTGTGACAATGCCTCCCTATTCAGCCTTCAAATGTGGTTCAGCCTCAGAAAAGAGGGAAATTCTGACCTGTACTACAACACAGATCCACCAAGAAGAACCAGGTGCAGTGTAATAAGCCAGGCACAGAAGCACAAATGCCATAGAATTCCACACAGAACACGTTCTTGCACTCATCAAACTCAGAGACAGAAGGTGCAATGGTGGTGGCCAGGGGCCAGGGGAAGGAGTGAGTGTTTAGTAAGCACAGAGTTGCTCTTTGGAAGATGGAAAGTTCTGGAGACAGACAGTGCTGAGGGGTGCAACAATGTCACTGGCTGCACATTAAAGACGGTTAAATCAGTGGATTTTGTTCTGTCTGTCTGACATTGAGCCAATGACATGGAAAGACTTCCCAATGCCAAGAAGATTTCCCTTTGTGAATAGACCTCCAGGCACAGATGCTGCACATGGGGACAGAACAATGTCCTGGGGTACCCACCCAGCTTAGCTGCCTGCCACTCAGGAGCCAGTACTCAAGGGACCCGGTGTGATGGAGCAAAGCAGGTTTATTCAAGAGCCAGCAGCTTGAGAAGATGGGGAGCCCTCAGCTTTACTTCTCGTTTTTTAATCCACACCCCTGAACATAATTTCACTGAGAGAAAGGAGAGAGAGAGAGAGAGAGAGAAAGAGAGAGAGAGAGAGAGAGTCAGTCTCAGGTGTGAAAAGTTCTGAGGATGGAATTCCTGCCTCGGAGCAAATCTGTTAAGTCTCCCCATCAGCCCCAGAACGCGCCTCTGGACATGTCAGTGCCCTCAATGATGAAACCACACGGGTGTGGGCTGGCCGGGAAGGTGGGCTTGGTTTGGCATGAGGTGGCCAAACCAGCTGTAGGAATGGTGACCCAGGAAGGGGTGCATCCAGTCACTCTAGCTTTTTCTGGAAGAACATACTCTGAGAACTCAAAGAAATCGGGAGGATTGCCAGGAGGAAGGCACGGCCACCTCAGCTGCCCTTAATCAGGGGAAATGGCCTGGACTGGCTCCTGGTGTGCGAGGGAGTCCCTCCAGGCCCTGCTGATCAGTTTCCTCATTTAGACTGCAGACTGTCTGCAGGAACAGATGAAGCACAGTCTTATATGGGTATGTGCAAAGCCCATGGTCACACAATAGTGCAGGAAAGGCAGGGAAGGGGCGGAATGGGGAGGGTCAATGGGCAGAGAAGAGGTCGCTTTGCCCCCACCTGGTCCTGGTGCCCAGCACAGAGGGCCTCGCTGCCCAGAAGCCACCTGTGACTTGAGGGTGAACTTCTCCTTCACAGCCAACCTGGTGGGACCTCCAGAACCCACCTGTCTCACACTAAGGTCACCCCTCTAATCCGTCCATTCTTTCTTCCCTCCTGTTCTCCTTGGTGCCTCCATCCCTGACTGGCTATGCCCAGACCTTCCCTGCTTGGCACCCAACTATCCTCCCTCTGTCTCCTGCACTCAGGGGAGGGTTCCTGGACACAGAGGCCTCAGCCCCATCCAGCTCAGCCCACAAACAGGCCACCTCCCATTGTTGCCCCTCTGCGACTTCCTTGAAAAGTGGGGCCTGGGAGTAATGGGGCTCTTGTCCTGATTCCACAGGCTCAGGGGATGATCAATGAGACATGGGATGGCTGCGGGCTGTTAAGGGGCATCCAGAAGTAATGAGTGGCAACGTACCAGGATGTTTTTCTTCCAGCCAGAGTGGGAACCGCTTGTTTGTTGTTGTAACCCTGCACCTGGCAGGAGCCCTGGCACAGATAGACCCTTCAGCTCCGTGAGCAACTGGAACCAGGGGAAGAGAATGCATTTCAAGGAAACAAGCATCCACTTGGGCTCGTCCCATCTAGGATCCCGAGCTCCTCTGAACTCAAGGACTAAGCGCTCTGACACAAAGT